GTTCCAGTTAGGGTGCATGTTATTCCCTGGTCTTCCCAGAAATAACATGCATTGCTAAAATGTGTAAATGTTTGTTTCTTCTCATTCCTTGCTTTTTTGTTTGTTTGTTTGTTTTTTAATTTCAGTCTGTCAACAAAGGGAACAAGTAATAGTGGTAGTTTAGTACTAACACATTATGGGCAGCATGATTGTTTTAAACTCAGAAATGCTTTGATCCTGGGTGTGAGGAAAATGGAGACGGACTGGCCCGGCTCCCTCACCTCATACCCCGCTGAGTATAACTCAGCATGTCTGTTGTAAATACGTTAACTGCGCGTGCGTGCCCAGGTGTTTTTTGGCTATCTGACTTGCACCCATGTGTTCCTTGGTTATCTGGCTCTAGTATAAAAGACAACAGCTCTGATCCACTGGAGGGGCTGAGCTCATGTCCAAATGGGGCGTTTGCCAACGGCTCCCAGGATCTTTTTCCAGTTACCTGGCTTGCGACCTGCATATGAGGGGTCTGTGATCCAGTGAATTTTGCATGTGAAGGGTCTGTGACCCAGTCTGCGCACGATGGGTTTGAAGGGTCTGTGACCCAGCAGGACACTGGGTTCCTGGGTTTGGTCCTGTTAGGGAATTGCATGTGTGTGTGTGCACATGTTTAGTACTTTTGAAAAAAAATTGTTGGTCATTTTTCTGTGTTATAATTTGTACAAGAATGTAGTATACCTAAAGAATTGTAATTGGCTGAGAACTCTGTAGGAAGATAAAGCATTGGATATTTACTCATATAATCATGTGCCTGTGACCAGTGGCTTTTCTTTTTGCAGTGAATCTTNGGTGTGCAAGAGCCTTTTAATCACTCTGACCCTATTAATTTTCTATCTGTAAAATGGCATCATAATATGTCTCTCTTTAACTATCAGGATATAGGTGATTTTTTTGTGTGCTCTTAAAAAGATAGTCCTATGATATTTTTGTTAAACATACCTTCATGATTTATTTATCGCAGGTTAAAAAAAAACAAACACAAAAATTCTACATCATCACCATTCAGTTTTCTTGATTGTGGCTCATGTGCATTATCTAAGCACATCTAAGACCTGCATTTATTTTAGTCAATTCCTGCTACAATGAGCACAGTACAAATAGAGAAGTAATTGGGTAGGTGAGTCTTGTGAATTTTAAGCCTTTTTCATTTAATTAGGAAATAAAAGCCAGACCATTAACGTGAAAATATAAGCACAAGGCTCTTATTTGTAAAGATAATTCTAGAAAAGTACACAAACTTCAGTATGACCGAGACCAAACTATACATGACTATGCTGCGTTGTAACATCAGACCAGAAGGAGACTGTTTCCATGCGAGAGTGTAGGGACAGCTAAAGAAAAAGAACAGAATAGATAGGTTTATTGTCTTTATAATCATCCTCATTTAATCAATGGTTAGTTAAAAACACTCTTTTGCATAATATGGCGCTTAAGAGATAAGAAAAAAAAA